CCAGCCACAGCCACAGCCACCCAACTCGTTTGTCGCCATGCGCATGCGTCGACGCACGTCAAGTGGCCCGACTGCCGGTTTTAACTTAAACGTATTCGATTCAAATTCACGTCACAAAAGTGTTACGTTACAGAAATCGCTGGTGTCGCGCCGATCTACTAAAAGACATCACTATGTAGAACTGTTACAGTGGGTTTCCACTGCCGTGACACTTGTATTAATACAATATTGCTATCCCTCTCACTCTCTTTGAAAATACAAAGACAACAATATGTGCCAATTGAGTACAAGTGTCACGGCAAAGGAGTTTCACGATTAAGTATGTGTAAAAAAAAATTTCGATCCATAACTTTCAAGACATATTTGAGTCCTTTAACTTTAAGATGCGCATTTGTAGATATAACAGAAAAAAATTACGTCACAACATGATAATAAAAAGCTATTTTGATATACCTCAATATTATTTCTATGAAATATATTAAATTAAAAAAAAAACAGTCTGTTTTAGCAATAAATAAGTGTAGTTGATAAATTATAAACATGGATTTTAAAAATGTTTAATTTTAAATCCCCAAATTTACCCATAGCACATACTATCAATATTTTTGAGTTTATTTACTTGGCACTAAAGCGATAAGATTCATTCGTTTGACAGAAAATAGCTAAAGATATCGCAATGACTTATGTTACCATTGTTAATTAAAACATGTAAGATTGAGGTCAACTTTCCGAATTTCTTTTCTTTAAATACATAATGTCTCTTTATAACTTTACCGTTCCATTACTCGGTATTGTATGTAAATAAGAGTCGAAGTTCACATATATATTTTGTCATAATTTCCAAGTGCTTATATTATGTCGTTTATATTAATAAAACAAGGATTTTTTTCCCAAAATCCTTTATCAAAATTACCTACACAAAAGGAAATAAACCGTACTTAGCGTCCGATTTCTATCATACACCGGCAGAATCGACTTATAAATACTTACTTTTAGAATACCTAAATGTTGAATAAAATCTTTGTGTAACCTGACAGATGCTGTCATTTCGGTCACCTTCGGTAGACATAAACGCATGTATTCTAGCAATGGAAACCGACGTTAATTGTTTAATACAAAAACATGTGTGTAATGTTTAGGATTCTTTTGGTAAAAATAGCAACGATCAGAAGTAGGTACTATGCAAGCACAATAACATGAGAAACGTGTGTAATGTAACGCAGCCAACTTACATCGTCATATACGCACGCATCGTTCAACGAGCAACGTAGTTAGTCCAGTAAAATTATTTCACATTAACTTTTTTTGCAAACTCTGCAAACAATCTGCATTGATATTAACAACTTCAGGCATTTTTACTCTGCATATGTATTACTAATTTACACCAAATATAACGTATTTGGAATGCAATCCTTTTTAAAAATAAATCGGAGACCGTGATACGCGCGCTTAATTGCCCAATTGACTGCCACATAAGGATTAATATTAATTAAGTAACAATACCTTATTAGCTTTCAATGGATTATGTATGCATTTGTCATATAATGCATAAGTACATACACATTGCATCAGAAATAACATCCGGCAATATTTAAATTAATTGAAAAAAAAATAAAATAAGACATTTTATTATTTCGCACATTTGCAAGTTCAATTTTTTCTAATTTTTTCTCAATTATCAATGAAGTAAACTGCGCACATTATATTGCAATAAAAAGTCGGGTTTGCAAAGCAATGTTTTCAAACGTAGCCATCGCTATAAGCAAAACCTAGCACATAAAGTCAAAACCTATGGCTTTGACAAACTATTCCTGGTTTTCTGGCACCAAAAACATCTGTATGAAATATACCTTCAACCTTGTCTTCCATTTTTGACAAAACAGAGATAATATGTTTTAATCGGGGATATAGGTCTCAGAAACCAATGGTAATTCAATAAAAACCTTTACGGTTGTTTCTTTTACCAATCACCACGTTATTGCGAATCGTTAAAAATGCTTATAAGAGATTATTATTGGGTACATAAGTATTGTAAGTTCTAAAATGTACAGCAAGTAAACGCTTTTTTCTCACATTACCTTGGCCATTAGCACTATCACAACTTCAAATATTTACAAAGTTTGTGTTCGAATAAGTTATAGCTATACGAATACTTCAAAATTATTAATACATTTTCATTCATATACCGGGTAATATTAAACAAAGCAACGTTGTAATCACGCACCAAATGGATTCTCATTAGGGAAAATCCCTAGTGACGTAACTTCCGGTCAATTTCTCCGACACAATGACACATATCCGATCGTCATTCTCGGACCCGTAAGGCTTAGATCGCATTGCGTTTTTTTTTTGCAATACGATTTCATGCCGCCTACCACATAATGAGGTTAGCAAGAGACGATAAAAATTAAAACTAAGTAGAGGAGCCCCACGAGTTGGATACATGATATGGCGATTTAAAATAAAGTTAAATTTCGCAGGAATATAACACAAAATCTGCTAACTATTTTCATAAGTATTGTAATAAGTCTTATTTTTGATGAATTCGCAGGAAGTATTTCTTCTAGTCCTTTGTTTTAACAAACATTAATGTAAAAAAATGCTTTGCAAATGTCGCTCTTCACTGCGCCAATTTCCAAGAGATTCAAATCCTGAATCCTTTGTATTATGCTTTGCTTGACAAACACAAAACTGTATTACAATTACTTTAATTAACTGTTATTTTTGACTTTCAGTTTCATTACTTAGATTCGAAAATAGCAAATATACTTGTGAGCAACATATTACACAGTGAAACTTAGAAATATGAGGCGCTGTTGGGCTATACACATATAACGTATTTTTCTAAGCTATGCTATGAGTTATATAACTTTTTTTTACAATTGTACGCAATATTCACAAGAAAAAAATGCATATAAGATTATTTGCGACCGTGAAATAAAAATAAACCATTTTGTTTTTATCATAGACAAAAATATCATAAATTTTTATTCATAGATTTTCAAATAATTGCGCAACGAAGTCATATCAGTTCGGTAGATTGAAACTTACGTAATTATTTTACTGATTTTTATTTATAATACCCAATTATAGTATCTGGTTTGTTCTCCTGTAATTATGAAGGGTAAAAATATTAAATGAAATATATTTGACTATGTAACCGGTATTGTTTATTCACAAGTCTTCTACCGTACCACAAATAATAACTACCACTATAACAACATACTACTTTAAGCTAAACAACCGAAACAGTGTACGATGATCCATTTATCATTTAAATATCGGGAATATATAATATATACATAAATTATTATCTACATAAATATATTTATATACTTTGCACAATGTACAATTTTCCATCTACAAGACAATTCGTTCAGAAATACATACACTAACTACATAAACACAATTATCAAAATTTAAAATAAACGCATAACATCCAATGCAATAAAATAGTTTTAAATGCAAATGTGCCAAATCACGGAATATATCCGTGAACCTTACGAATACTAGTAACATAAATACTTTAAAATATTGTGAGCGTGTTATCGGCAGTTTGTATGCATAATAAAAGAAATATTTGAGCTGATATTTATATTAAAACAAAACATATTTTCGATGCACCATAAGTAATTCGTTATTTTACTTGGACGTCTATGCTTCACGTAAAAAAAACAAAAATGACAACACTTCTGTAATTTTATGGAACGCAAACTCAACTAGATAAAATAGTTTTTTATAGTACAAACTGAATTTAAAATTTAAATTTTGGTTATGTTTATTATTCATTCATTGACATTTTAGATTTTAACATATATTTCTGGCAAAATTCTAAGCTCTAGGCAAATGCTATTTCAGTTTGTTTAAATTGAAATAACTATAGCTGTAAAAAAGAAATAAAGTGCATCAGTACTAACATGTAAATCTTTATTGTATCACCAGCTTTTTTTCTACTCACACAAATTAAAACAATCAACCAATAAGTAAACAGCTCACATAGAATGTTACGTTCAATTATCAAATTTACACAAAAGTACTATTTATTCGCATTCACAGAACTTCATTTATTTACTTTTATTACCAAAAAAAAACATTTAAAAAATTAAATTGCAGCCCTAACTGCTTAGGAATATTTTTTATCAATATTAAAATTATTATGTACCATAGTCATAGAAATTGAATTTAAAAGAACTGTTTTTAGTTATTTTTCTATTTTTTAAACAAATTCAAGTACTAAGATTAATATGTAGGCACTTTATAAAAAAAGTAATTATGTTATTAATAAAAACCCAACGTCGGAATCGGATAATGTACCAATAAGTCAATTTTGTAAGATAATTTGTTCATGTGTTTGCATATTGTGCTTCTATGTTTATACATTCTAAGGAAAAAACAGGTACAATTCTATTAGTTGAATCGTCACACAACAATCACATATTTATGACACAAATAAATTGCAAAGACGGCGAGTTTGCGGCGGCTTAAACAACATGTTAAGAGAATAGCATTATTTTTTACTATATTTTATTCTGTTGCAATGTAATTGAATGGACAAGACATTAACAATGACATTTCAATAAATTGTAGACATACAGCAAATGCCTTAGAAGGCTATTGAATTAATGAAGTCTGAATAATGAATGCTAAAAAAATTACTTCTATCAATTTTATGTTTTTTTTTTCTTACCTAATTTCTATATTTCGACATACTAAGAAGCTTGATATGAACTTTTAAATTAGATTTAATTGTTTATAAACTTGACAAAAAGTTGCTACCAAATATTAGGTGTCCTATGATCAAAATGGTTATTTAACATATTTTTGTAGACGTCAAATAATTTTGAATCTGCATTATCTTAGCTACAATTTGTACCACAATTGAATTAATTGGTATTTTAATCCAATAATTATCTATGCACTAATTTATTTACGCTGGAAATATAATAGTAAACTTTGATTAACAAGGTAAAATTTTACATAATGTCAACAAGAATTCAAAATTACTTTTTTAAATGGTCAAAATTTTTCAATTAAAAGTTAATGTTATTCTCGTTACATTTTGTTTGTATGTATGATAGGTCTAGCTCACAGTCCAATCGAGACCCCAGCGTTCGGACACTTTAAGTTGTGCAGCCGCAGCATCCTTTAGGGAGAATAAATGTGTCATTTCCAGTTCCGTCTTAGCGAGTGCGATCGCTTTTTCAAATAGTTCCAACGATCTCCTCAGGTTTCCTCTGAAAAATATAATTTTTTTGTTGGCAACATTAAACATTTCAATGATTTACAATAACACCACTCAACTTAGATAACATATTAGAGATAATATTGTAGTGTAAAATATAGATAACGGTTATCTAGTAAATAATCTCGCACAAATTTCAGACCAATTCAAAGAATTTAGCTTTTGGCAAATGTATGAGAATCAATCTTGAACATTGCATTATGTAACCTTTGAAATTTTTTGCTATATCAGTTAAAACATTTTCTTCTACTAATGAAGACAACTTCATATATCATATTCCAATTAGACAAAATATTTGTCAAAATATGCAAGCTGTTGTAAAAAAATTTAAACTGTATGTACCCCATATTAGTTAATTACATAAATAGTACATCTTACCTTTGCACTTCTATTGTTCCTAGAGTTTCATATGCAAAGTCACATTTCTCATCCATTTCAATAGCTTTGTTAATTAACTTGACAGCTTTATCAAAATCTGTGTTCTTTTGCAACTGGACCAGTCCCTTGTGAACATACAATGCAGCATTATCTGGGTCTACAGACAAAGCAGAGTCAAATAATGATTCAGCTCGGCCCCATTCTTGCTGGTCGGATAATACTTGTGCATAAAGAATATAAGCTTCTGCGCATCTTGGAAACTTTTCTAAAGCCCTCTCAAAATCTGAACGAACTTGAGTAAGTGCACCAACATTTTTATGTAACTGAGCAAGTCTGTAATCCGCATAGCATTTCTGGATGTAGGCTATAGAAAAGTTAGGGTTAAGTTCAACTGCCTTAGCAAATTCAGCTGTAGCTTCATCCATTCGTTCTAACAGCAAGTATACTTGGCCACGGTGATGATATATGTCCGAGTTGCTTGGATCCAATTTGGCAGCATGTGCAAAGTCCTCCAGGCAACGCTCAGTGTTTTCCAACTGAGTAAAGAGGGATGCACGTTTAATTAAAGCATTTACTTTAACCTTTAGAGATGCATTACTGTCAATCACTTTAGCAAGATCAGCCTGTGCTTCATCATGTCTGCCAAGAAGCAAATAAAATGTTGCACGCAACAACAAGGCCTCGTATTTGTACTTTCCATCAGCTTCCAATTCTTCAGTACAAGCATCAACAATTGATTCATAATCTTGAGCATCTAGTGCCTTTTTAGCTTTTGCAAAACCACCAGTAGCATTATCTTCTAATTGATGTTTGGTAATAGGCTCCTCAGAGAAAGCAGAGAAATAAGTCTTTATAAAATGCTTTGATGGCATCACTGGCTGTCGCTTAGCAAGTGCCTCCCTAGCATGCTGTCTACCTAATGCTTTTAGAATACGATCTGCGTTGACCAAAGAACTTTGTACTTGGAATCTTTCAAGGATACAGGCTGATGTTACATCTTCAAGTGCAAGAACTAAATCTCCACTTTTCTCAGCCGCACGAGAACGACGTAAGAATGCTTTAACGTACTTTTCATTCAGTTTTAAGGCAAAAGTACAATCTTCCTTCACTTGTTCCCACATTTCGCGCTTCTCATAGCATGCCGAACGATTCTGGTAAAATGTTGCCAAGTCAACAGTATGGTCCGGAGGGCATGCCTCGATTGCTTCGTTGTAAAGGGCGATAGCTTTATCGAATTCTCCTGCATGAAAGGCCCTGTTCCCGGCACCCTTTAATTTCATTGCACGGTCGATAGCACTTTCTGCGACTTTTGCATTATTTTCTTCATTATCCAAAGATATTGTAGTTTTTGCCTTTAAATCTGCCACTTTTTTCTTCTCGGGATCTTCTAATCTGTTTCTAAGATACAGGTAACCTAGGCCGATAGCCAAAGGCGCACCAAGAAGGATAGCCAACTGCCATTTAGGAAAAGGGGTACTGCCGGTTGACGCCATATCCTCAGAAGAAATTGGAACGATTAATGATTCACCATTTATTTTGACAATGCAGAATAAAATAGATGTAAAACCTAAAATACAGTGCTTTTACAAAGGCATTAAAATACCTATTACACTATCCATCATCTGACAATATGGGGGTGAATGTTACCATTTAAAAACCAAAGAAAAATATTTTTCTTAATATTTACAATTTATTTTTTAGGATATCATGTTGATATCATGAACTACATTTGAGGTTTGCTGATGACCCACTTTTATTTGTATTTAAAACACACGCCCCAACTTCTGCTTTCCTGTTTCCTGCTGTTCTTACTGCTTTACAAATGGCAGCACTACTAAACGTCATTGAGATAAACTTATGATATGATTTTGAGTTCTGTTTATTGGCTATAAATATAAAAATAACCTATAAATGTGCTTAATTTAAGTGTTACGTGATAAATTAAATTAAAAACAAAATGTTTTCTTCAAGAATTTCATCTTTAGTATGTGTCCATAATAATCAATTCAAATATTTCTTGTTTCATTATTATTTTTGGGACTTATAATTTCAATTTATTTTTACAGCGTAAAGTAAACCATATATTGAAAACAAATAAGATTATAAGATCGACAGCAGTTGTACAAAATCAACAAAAACGTTTCAAAGCCGACTTGCATGAACCTGATTATTTAATAGTAAGTGTTGACAATAAATACCCTTAAAAAAATTGCAACAAAATGTTTTACGTAAATGGATCTCATGTCATATTAAAAATAAAAAACATTTTGATTTTTTCAGAGCATGGAACCGGATGAACCTGTGTATGACTGTTTAAATTTGCAGTTGAAAGGTTATGATTTTGCAGTGCTAGAAGCATGCCAAGCTGAACTACATCGTGTAGCTGATATAATGGGTGTACAAGTTGATGAATGGTATACAACATATTTTTATTCCCCAGGAATATAAAGCATGAGATTATGTTATTTATACAATATATACAAACATGAGATCTAAGAAAAGACTAGCAATTTCATAACCATAGTACTATTATTTGATTCTTCCAATTTATCTTCAACTAAAATGGTGGTTACATACTGAAAGTGCTATTGGTTATTAAAAATTAGACAAAGTGGCAACAGCTAAATCTTTTACTTTTTGCTTCTCAGTTGGGCAACTCCTGCACAGCAATTAAAAGTGCAACGCTATAAACCAAGAGGCACTGTTGTGGACGCTGAGTACAGTCTTAATGTTTATGAAAGAAATGTCCAGGTAATATATAACTACTACTTCTATTAGGTAGGAAGCAATAAATAGAAGAAGATGAAGATAATGGCCATGCACCTCATGAATATTTTTCTAGTTAACTTTTTAACTTGACATAAAATAAAAATAAAATCAGGCAACACTTTAGTTATGTATTGTGTGTGTTATGTATTTAGTGGGAGATAGATGGCGTTGTTAACAAACTTATAATAATGATTAGAGATCCTAATCAGACCAAGTTTAATGACTTTTTTATAGGTGTTAGGTAAAATTTTAAATTGTGAGTTTATACAATGTGTGTGTTCTTTTTTTCATTTATTTTTAATAGGTAGTGGATGTACCAGCATGGGCGTTGGGCACTTTACTTCGGATAGCCAGAGCATACTTACCAGAAGGCTGTACTTTGAATGTCCATGAACATACTGTAGATCATGAGGAAATTCGTTATGTACCTGATACTGAGCTCTTAGATCTTAAACAACAACTGGAAGGCATGGGTGGAAGCCGTCAAGATAGTAAAAAGAAAAAATAAATTAATTGCTTAAATAATTATAAGTAGTAAATATATTATTAATAGTTATACATATATATTTTATTATAGTAGTAGTAACTTATACTTATTGAAAATAAAATTCCATCTCTTACCCTGTTTTCTACACCCTAGTAGGTAATTGGTATATTTTATGTATGTATATCTATTCGCATCTGTGCATATGATATTATTTATATTTGAATGCATATAAGTCACATATTTATTCTTCAGAGATCTTAGGACTACAAATTCCCTTGTCCGTTGTTTAAATAGATAATTTGACTCTTGTGGACTAAGGTAGACCCTTCTTTCTTGTCTCGGAAGAAATGATTGTGTAAAAACACAAAACAATCTGTATTTACATCTAATTTCAAGTTAAATTAAATGTAATTTTTAAAATGAGTATTACTTTATATAAATTACGCTAACTTTTATGTGTGATTAGGTGAATAATTCAAAAATTCTTTAGTCAAATCTTGTAGCTTATGTCGTCTACAAGTTAAGTGCACAAGGCTTACACACAAAAACCATTAGACTAAGATTAAAGCATTGTGCAAAATGATAATCACATAGTAGCACCGGCAATAGCGAACTTTAGAATGAATGTGTATCAACTGTGTACAGATTTCGTAATTTTTAACGCGAGGCGAAACAAGATTTGAGCAACGATATCATATTCATGTAATAGTCTGTCTGTACGCCTTTCCCGCCAACGAACCTCTGCACTTTTGCTTGCAACACAAAGTAAACGCATAAAGCTAAAGTTACGCTTTGATTGCTGTTAATAAATTTACAAATGAAACAATAGAGCCTTCGTAAATATCAATAACATACTATGTCATAGATACGTTAGTACTAATGGCCATAATGAAAAGTACCCCCCCCCCCTGTTATGTGTTTTGTTGTTTACGTACGTTAAAAATTAACGTACGTAAACAACAAAACACATGGGGACAAGAAGAAGAAACAAGGGGACGCATAGATATTAGGTAAATACCTAATATCTATGCGTCCCCTTCGTTGTCGTTCACAGCAGACTTTTGGATTTTGCAACATTTAATTCGAGAATCAACCTTATCTATTAGTAGTATACATAGTTGGGAAACAATCCTTAAAATAAAATACCGGAGTCGAAAATTATCAATAATCAATTACTTTAACTATTTAAATTGCCTCAAGTATTCTCAATAACAAACATTTAATCATTAAAGAAGCGTCATCGCCCGTGACCCGCCAATCGGCGATGTAAAGTGTGTGTTTAGAGTTATTTTGAAACAGGTATCTTCAAGCTATAAGTATTCAGGGCGCACACCTGTCTCATTGTCGTTAGGCACACCCTAGTCCTACTCGATGCGAAATAACCACATCTATTGAAGCTAAGTAATGATAATGAAGAACAAGCGTTAAACTGATGAGTAAGCTATATTATTTTAAGTGTTCGTACAGTATCCAATATCCAAGTTTGTGATTTGCGAAGCAGGGGATCGCGATCTCAAGACTGACAACAAAATAACATAGTCAATGTTTTTTCTACCATCGTTTTCTATTTGTCACTGAATTCTGACGACTTTGTGGAGCCTTACAAAACTTTTAGGTATTCAGTTATCTTCTAATAAATTAAATTCAATAAAATGGCTATGTGCAGTAATCTTCTATGTAATAAATAAGGGAGAAATCAAATTTTGGTCTTGGAAATCCTAGATTTTATCTTTGATGTTACCTAGCGCGTTTCGCAATATCCACATTACATACACATCTTGTTTAATTGTAGGCAATTGCTTCCGTGTATGGACATTTAGCGCACAGTCCGCCGTAATCTATACTTTTATTTATAGGTACGATGTGTAGGTGTCATAATATTCTCTAACATTACTATCTGGAATTAGCTCCTAAGTTGAATGTTATGCGACTGACATGTTCAACAGAACATAAGTCCCTAAAAAAAATAGAAAAAATTTTACTATCTGGGAATGAGTTCGATATAAGTCATTAGGTTTAAGCCGTGATTATTGGTAGTCTGAACTTAATAAATAATTAGTACTTAGGTGCTAATAAAGAAATCCAAAGTGTCTAGATGTACCTTATACTCGAAACCACAAGCGTAGTTTTGCGGTAAATGTATTCATTGTCTTGAACTAAATGTATGCTAATTATAAACAACGTTACACAATGTGTCTTTGAATATTTTTGTCCGTTTTGCATATTTTATACTTAATTACAACTTCGTATCTTTTAATTGAAGTCGTTGTAATATAATATTTTTTATATAATTATACATAATAAAACATCTTTACATTTAGCAAAGTACCAAAAAATTGTCCATCCATTTATTAATTTATAAAATGCCGTTGGAAAATTAGTATTTTAACATCATTCACTATTGATATATTACTAAAATTTAAAAAGTACCTAGCCTGCATGCATCGACTACCTTCCCGTTAAAGCACCGTCGAAATTGGTCCAGCCGTTCCAGATTACTCGGAGCGAGCAGAAACGCGGCCTTGCTAAACAGACAGACAAAAATTTTAGAATTTATTTTTTCGTTGTTAACAACGCAAATACACCAGGCTTACAAAATATCATTTTTTTCTCGATATTTCTCACAGACACTGCAATTTTATTACTATAAATACATAATGAAAAACCTTATGGCCATTCCTTTTATTTAGGTAAATGCGGTAATATATCCATAGATATTATATAATTGTAATAGGAATTATACTGAAAGTGCATAATATCCCAATACATGCAACTATATATAATATCCAACTTATCAATTCCCGACTCTTCCGGCAACTTAAGATACTTTCACTCACGCCTCTAAACAAGGCACGGATAACTGCAACAGATTTACAAACTATCACAATAAACCGACAAAATATTATACTAGAATTATATATGCTTAACTTTCCACTGTCGCAAAACATGTAATAAAACATATTATCTCCGCTTTTTCTGTAAAAATAAAAAGGCGAAGAAGGAGGATTCTTAATCTTAAAAGTATTACTGTCCTTTCGTTTTGATTTTGCATTGATTGAATATTTCCAAATGTTAACTTTACCATTATACTAAACACATTAGTCTAAGCACATTGATCAAAGAAGACACCATTTCACTATTGTGTTGTAATCTCCTCTCACCAAGGTTCGGTGACGATGCACCGACAATTCACCTGCGGAAATTTATTGACCCAGAATATAACACTAAATGTGCAGTCTAGCCACATCTACAACGGAAGTATATATAAGCAGGTAATACATTTATAATTGCATAAAAGAAGTAATTATTCAAAACTTCTTTAAAATTCAGTCCAAGTATCCGAATTTTACTAATATTATAAATGCGAATGTTTGGACGGATGTTTGTGTAAAGGTATCTCTAGAACCACTGAACGGATTTTGATTAAATTTGGCACACATGTAGAACATTGTCTGGCTACTAATTTTTTTTTTTTAATGTCTCGCGGACGGAGTCTGGGGCGACAGCTAGTAGGGTTATAAAAGATAAAAGTGTTAATAGATTTTTATTAAACATACATGAAACATAAAATTTTAATGTGACCTATGCTAATCCATTTTTGAAGTATCTTCAGCATCATATTTTAGAACCTGAGTACGTAAATTAATTATGGATATGCTTTTCCTTTCATTGCGGATGTTAATGCGCGTCAGATCACTTAACCTCTAATGACCCAGTCGCCCCTTCTCCCATAAAAAATGTAAACAAAAAGCAGTTTGTCGGTTGTCATGCGCTGACATAATGTTAACTCAACAATATATCACAGCTTTTAAGCTTCTTATTTAACGGTCGAGCTGTCAAATAAGCGCTAAATCTGCCATGATTACAAACGCGGTGGTCTAATGATGACAAGCCTGTCAATATAAAACGAACGAGTGTCGTAATAGTTCCGTGTGTTGTTGATATTTCTCTAAATATTGCCGTGTTAAATTGCCTAATGGGCAAATGTTACATTTTAAATGACATAACTACAGTAAGAAGTGGTGAATGTCTAACGTTCTTATACATTGTTTATTGTTTACAATTACTCATCATCTAGGTTGTTAATTCACTTACAATTTAATTTTTTGTTATATCGATGTGAATTTATATATTTATCATGGAATGGTTTTAAGATGCATCTTGTTTTCATTGTTAGCGCCATTAGACTGAATAGTTAGACATATTTTGAAGAGTTTGATCTCATTCTATTTATGTATTAAGCAGTATATAATAGTAGTCCAGTATATAAGTTTTAGACATTAATTTTCGTTTGAATATGAATTCAATAGATACTAGTCCTTAAATCGCATCATAATATACATTAAATTGCACAATGCAAAGAGATTTTACATTAAAAATTGCTGAATAATAACGTATTGTTATGTGCAGATATTTAACTTACCATCATATGTACATCCTGCTGGTTTCATCACGTTAACATTAAAAAATAATTATAGGCAATGTAAGTTGCTGTAAACGAATAAATGTGGTGTTCTATGAATGGTCAAGGCTCGGTTGTCGCCCTGACCCCATGTGGTATAGCTAGTATTCAACTATACCATAGGCCGATGTAAAATGTAGAATGTTAAAGATAAAAAATTTATAAGACTATAAGACATTACCTTACGGGTACTAAGCTATATTTGACACAAATTATTTACTCTCATCTCATCAGTTGAATGTTTACTTTACCATACTTTATCCAAACAACAACAAACAGTTATCTAGTTGATAATGATATGTTAATGAACATATCAGTATTAATAAATTGTTGCATATTATATCAAGTAATTAAATTAAGTTTGCGTTGAAATCTTTTACATGGAGAAATTAACCCATCTAAAACATTAACGAACTGTGTTATTCTGAAACCGTAAACAATTTGTTATGGTTACCGCTTGTAAAAAAACTGACCTTGTTGATGTTTTACTTTATGAATATTGTTAGTTACCGAAATCAGTAATTATTGTTTTAAGACGCCTTTTTGACCTCCCGCTCACGTTTCTATCAAGCATTTAACAGATGCATCAAAATATAAAATGAAGGTTATGATAATACTTTATTACTGTTGCATATTTTTAGTGCCATATATTTGTTAGTATGTTATGCGTATATATATATATATATATATATATATAAATTTACATTTTCTAATTCGGATATCTCTATGCGTATATTTTTCTCCTCACAAGGCTAAGCTTGTATTCTTAGAACTTAATCGGTTGATCGAAACCATTGACTTCATAAAGCGATACGAATATAATATGTGACATGTTGTTATTGATTTTCTTTAATAAGTTATTGTCGTTATGAGATAGATCGATATATTAAACGCTATTTCGACAACCTAAGTTATACTTTATTGCCGTGTCGACGGTAAATCACCGTCACTGAGAATCAAAGCTTCTTGCGCCGCTCGCAATTACTCCATAACACTAATTGCAATCTTTCGCAGTAGAGCACAACATTCGCTATTCACACGAAGATGAAACAGTCAATTACACGTGAAGAGCAGTAAAACTTTATTTGACTGTCTTACGACATACTACAGATGATCCAATACTATACTAGTAAGAATTAATCTAAAACATTATGGTAACCCATAGACACCGAACCGGCGTGAGTGGGATAATGCCGGGGAGTTGATGATCTTATACTATACTAGCTGTCGCTCACGACTCCGTCCGTGCGAAATGAAAAAAAAAACTGAGAAGTAGGCTATGTGTTCTTCCAGACTATTTTCTACATCTATGCCAAATTTCAGCGAGATCCGTTCTGCCATTCTGGAGATACCTTAAAAAAAACAACCATCCATCCATCTAAACATTCGCACTCTATTGACAGGTGTAATTTATCTTGTCTTTTCCTTTAGTATTTAATAATTAATTAAATGATTTAACTTGACTAGTATACCGATAATTAACTTTTAAACTTGTTCATCTGTCAATAAATGTTTGTTATGAATTAGAATACATCAAGGTTTTATAGTCAAAAAATCAGCTCTTCCTCAAACGTTAGTCAAGCATGCTGGCCCAGTGCAGAATGACGACGCATCTTAAATATCTTCGTAGATATGTGCAGGTGACATCAAGATGTTTTCATTGACCGTAAGAATGTCGGTTAAATGTTATAAGTAATTTCGGAAGTCAAAAAAATACATTGGTACATGGAGGGGATTGAATCCAGGATGATTAAGATTACAAGTCTAGCGCTTATACCTGAGCCACCGACACTAGCACTCCCTAACTGGCGCGATCTTTCAAGAAAAGTGACAGAAGCTCTGTTACCGTTTCATCAAATATAATTGCAAGTCACACGTCTGAGATTAATCTTGGCCATTGCCTATTCTGCAATGTAATTTTACCTTATTAAGTGAAAGGTAGGGTTGACTCTATATAGAGCATTGACAGGAAACCGAAGTAACTATTGAGTAAGCAAATATAATAAATCTTGTGTGTATAATAACCTACATAAATTTTGTGATACATCCTGAAAAATTATAAAACTAAGCCGATATTTTTACACTAATAGTGTAAAAATATCGGCATATATAATATATGTAGTAATATTTTCAAAGGTCATACAAACGCGACGTGAACTTAATGTACGGCACGAAGATTCGATTTTTAAATAAGGTTTTATTTTTTTCCAATTAAATCACTAATCATTAATTTTTTCTACTGTTATACTTAAGGCCGTCTACCTCCGGGTCTAAATATCACGACTCCTCTTACAGTGGATTTCTGAACTGCAGGTTACGTCATCGCATGTATACTTAAGCTGTTTGTATCGTAATTATCTATTTAAGAAGTCACTTTCCTGTTTCTTTAAATTAAAAACAAAACTTATAAATATTCCAAAGCTAGCTCGGTTTCGAGCTTAAAGCTACAAATCCGAAATAATAAATTAAAATTAAATAGTTTATTTATTTGACACCTCAATTTGGAAACTTAGTATATTATAAAATAGTTATTTTGCTTTGTATATCAAAACAATATATAATAATATGATAATAAATTATTGCGTATTTACATAACATAGTAAAAAAGCATTATTTCTATTGACCATTGGTGTGCAACATTACCTCGAGGACAATGCAGGCGACCGCAGTTACCCGACACTACGCGAGCATTACCAAACATTACAATATGAAATTCCCTAACGTGGTGCATTATGGAAAGCAAGACATCATTTCACCATCGGCAATAGAAGCATTGCTTGATACAATCCATATGAACGATATCTCATCTTATGTTCTATACATTCAAATCGTTGAAAATTCTTATCACAGCAATAGTATAATGTTCCGATCGTAAACGAAGACGACATTTTCACGTCATCGGACTTTACAGAGTTAGAATTTAGCGTCAACAGACCAAGCAACAACATTATAAGTTGATGTAAGATTGTATAAATTTAAATTTAACTATATTCTGACGCTAAATTAATAAAGAATATTAAATAATTACAATGATAAACGTTAAGTCAAACGTTATACCAATAAATTATTAATTCCAAATGTATGCATGAATACAACGTTTATACAATTTGAGCATATTGCGAAACGAAAACAATTCGTTAGCGTATTGGAAGATTTTGAATAGTTTACCGTTATTTCATAATTTGAAATATATTAAAAATGAGTGTGAAATACAAAGGTAATGGAACACAAATAACAGAGGCCAACAACTATTAACTAAATATTTATTCAAACTTACACGATAGTGATTTGTTTTTAGGATTTCGAATCTGAAGATTGCAGAAAACACATTGGCGCAAATATTTTATACCTTAACAAGATGTTTAAGTTCTTTGTTTCTTAATTTAAATTTAATTACAAATAAAATGTAAGGGATGCGATTATGTACATGTGTTTCGGAAGTAAAAACCCATAGTCACAAAACAATTATGAATCAAACAGTGAAGAAACATCAATCTGTGTTAATGGCAAAGTTGCTCATTTTTTATCTTATGATTGATTTAATGCATTTACATTTAAGGTCCAAGGAATAGAAGCTAGCCAAATTTGAAAAAGCATATGCAAATATGGTATACTGGAGCTAGGTAATTATAAAATGGGTATAGGATATATCTGATATGCTTGTTAGAGGTACTTTACGTAGTAAGTCGGTACTATGCCCTTTTTGCACCGGATATTTTAAGAACATACGTCAAATAGTTGAATGCAAACATTACAACGTTCTTATTTGAATAGCGGAGGAGTGTTTTGTTTTAGTACTCAAGAGATTGACGAGAACATCTCATGTCTCAAGGTGAAGTACACGTGTTAGGGTAATGTTCTTTTATAGATTCTCATTACCAACATACTAAAAGCAATATCGACATGACTTCCTTTCCCTTTTATTTATTTCATTGTTAATTAGGCATTATTGTAGTGTGAGTTTATCCTACTAAAACTTATACAGCAAATGTTATGTTACATTAATTCGTGAGATGTATTCGAAAACTTCAACTAGTCTCCAGGCTAGTGACAACCTTACCTATCAATAACTGTATCGATCATATTGTTGATAGATGCGTTGCTTTACTTTATGAAAAGAAAAAGAAGGAATACATGAGAAGAAAGGGTAAAATAAAATACGATTGTCATGTGGCACATCACTCTATAGAAGAAAATTAATATTCGAAGTAAATACGAGTAAGTATGATGAGATGACGTTGTCTACATTCTTTTTAATTGCTTGACGCCAAATTCCCATAATCGTTGAGTTTCCTCTGATCCTATTTTCGTAATTACGAGTGGGATTTTTTTAATCGCAGTGCAGGGACAATGGCTTGCGTCAGCGCGGTCGAGGAACAGCTTCCGTTCGCTTCTTCATGGCCCTCGGAGCTTGGCCAGCGAGTGGGAGAGCGGAGTTTGTATATAACGCGCCGCCGCCGACCCATCCACAAGCAGTTACCGATCAGCTTCACTATGAAGGTAACACAACACACAAGAGTAATACTTACAATATATAAAAATATATTCTCAAGTGTGTCTCGATAGTGATTGTCTTGAGATAACTCGAGGAACAATCGGTTAACTAATACTTGTGTAATCGTGTTTTACATTATTAACATATTTTTAATTTTCTCACGCTATAGTTATTTTTTTATTAAAACTTAAAAACGTGTGTGTAAACTTCATATTTCACAATAAATTTCTTTACTATTAAAAAAGGCTATCGAGAAATGCAAGGATTGTGACATTACATTCAGATTTTTTAACTTCTTTTAATTGTAATGTTTTATTTCTTGTACCTTCAATTACATTTTTTGTAAATTTTATAATATTAAAAAGACTGTTTTGCTAAAGTTACATAGTAAGTTAGAATGACTTCACATAATAACTAACATTTATGATGGTATTTCTGCAAACTGCGACTTTAACTGTCACAACTCTTCAACCTCATCATGAATGAAATCAGGGATTGGAATTAAAAAAAATATACCACCTACATCGCGCAATGTTAATTTGATTTATGCACTTTTTCTGTTAATTGGATTTTCTCTATAAATGTACCCACCTAATGTAATAATATAGTACGTAGCGTCATTCTAACCTAAATAGATAGTTAAAAATGTAAAACATTTCTTTATATTTTGGCAGAAATATCATTGATAATAATGTTTTTCCAGGTATTCGTGTGCTTGTTAGCATTAGCAGTGGTCGCGAAGGCCGGATATATAGGCGGCGGCGGCGGAGGCTGGTCGGGCGGTGGTGGCGGCGGCTATGGCGGCGGCGGCGGCGGCTACGGCGGCGGCGGCGGCGGCTGGTCCGGTGGCAGCAGCGGCTGGTCAAGCGGCGGTGGTGGCGGCGGCTTCGGTGGCGGCCATGGCGGCGGTGGACGTAAGACAGACTATTTCAGAAATACTTGACATGAAATCCGATAATTCTGCTATTTTAATAGTATCAGAATAGTAGCTTGATCGTGGTATAATAGTAACCTACTGAAAAATGTATTTCAACCAGTTTACTAGGATAAATATTACTTTAGTTCTTACAAGTTTTACAGTACGATACAGTAAATTATTATAATAATTAACCAAAAAGAAGTTATTATAAGTTGTATTTATATTCACAGAGGTGAAAATCATCAAAATCATCACCACCGGCGGAAGTGGAGGTGGCGGTGGATACGGTAAGAATTTTTTTAATTATATAGTTGTCATAAAAATGTTAAATCCATTTATTTCCTGAAAAGTTATCTACAGACATTAAAAGTAGTGTCTGTAATCAAGAGGAGTTATCATTAAACTGTCGTAAAACCTGTTAACCGCGCTAACACATTAAGCTATCTATAAATATGAATGGATGTTACATAACGGAGTGTACTGCACAAGTACTGGCGATCTTTCTTCAGATCAAAAGCTTAGGTTGCTGTAATGCAGGAAACAATTGCAACTATGATCTAGGTCATGTCGGTGGAGCTTAAACGCCCGACATTTTGCTAATCCATCAGTTTACTAGTTTAAAAGCATGTTGTCTCTCTTTCATTCTCTTTGGATGAAAAGGGATAACAATAGGTTTTCGTGCAGTTAGGCCAAAATACTATCTTGAAAGTAAATAAGCTTATTATTATTTATGTAGAATACATCGGATATAATTATTTTGAGCACGGATAAAATTGTTAGTAAATTGTACACAAGAGAGGTCAAAAGATCGCTGTAGACTGGGGTCATCCGTTCACTCATCAGTACAGATTATGCAATGCCGTTATTACGCGCCAAAATCGACCATATTTTTTCTCATATTTGTAAAGTCGTGATTAGTGCTCGGTTCAAGGTTTAAGGTAATATTCTTTTGTGTTATTGCTTAATGTGATCAGTGTTCTTTTGTTAAGAACACAATTTGATTTTATAACTCTTAAAGAAATGTAATACGAATAAATAAAAACGAACTTCTGAAATTAGTAATTACCAAAAATAATGTAGACTTTTCTAATACTCTCTTAATGAAGAATGCAAGAGAGCACCAGTTTTATGGTTGAGTGTATTATAGGCGGCGGCTATGGCGGCGGTAGCAGCGGCTGGTCAAGCGGAGGTGGAGGCGGCGGCTGGAAGCTTGGCGGAGGCAGCAGCGGCTGGTCTAGCGGAGGCGGAGGTGGTGGCTGGAAACTTGGCGGAGGTGGAGGTGGCGGCGGCGGTGGCTGGAAACTCGGCGGAGGCAGCGGTGGTTGGTTAGGCGGTGGTAGCGGCTGGAAGAGCGGCGGCGGCGGTGGCGGTTGGTCCAGCGGCGGTGGCTCTTCGGGCTGGTGGTGATCTTCTCTATAGTACAAATTCGAATTAATATATTAAAACATATCAACCTATTATTGTGTTTTATATTGATCAATCCATCCCAATGAAACCACAACGTCCATGCCCTCACTTCAACCGCCCGAATAAAGAAGTTGATCGATGAAGCATTTTAACAGTTAACAAGTTTATTTGTATTGAGACAACATTATTTTAAAACCTTTTGAATGACTCATCGTTGGTTTCGAAGACCAAAATCCTGTATTAAACACATTGTTATCTCTGTTTTGCCAAGGTATTGAGAGAGATGACGATTTCTCTCAAATCTTGCAAATAATAAAAAATTTGAATGGATGGTTCACCGGATCTCGCTGAAATGGCACAGATGTAGTAGTAGAACATACCCTACTAAGTTTTATTTTAATACCGCGCGGGCAACAGCTATGATTTACACAGATTTTAGTCTCGGAGACAATCAAAATTATTTTACTAATAATGTAACACCACGTTAAGATCAATATTGAATACTGAAGCACACTTTACACATAACTGCAAGTGTAATTAAATCGTCATCTGAAAATGGTATTGTTGTGTAAATAAATGACAGATTTATTAAAAAAAATATATTTCAACATACACGTTCAACTTAACAATACATCTTACAGCTAAAAAGTAAAGCACGATGACCTTGCTTTTTGGTTTATTTTATGCCTCTGTGTTTATAAAAAAATAACTTGTCAAAATCAAAAAGCATTATTGGAAGAGCGAAAATTAAAATTATTGAGATATTTAAACCTAAATTTGGTCCATATAAAATAAGATGACAGGTGATTCTATCACCATTCTGTTGGTCAAACCTTCTCGGTATTAAGGATTTCATCCTAACATTGTACAGGTTGCTTAAATTATACTACAACTATACACAATTCTAATGTGTTCTATTCTAAAAACCTTAACATAAGTAAAAATATACTTACAACATATATCTGTAATATGCAATTTCACTTTCCTTAATCTCACAATTTTCACAAAATTACAGTATGTCTGATGAAAATATAAACAGAAGTTATATTGAAATGGTCACAAACTTTATATTAGATAATGAATGAATGAGCAGTAGAATTTTATTAGAAAAAAAATAATAATTAAAAGTATAGCTTAATACATTAAATTACTGGTACAAATTAACTTTCACAAATAAATATATATTAATTATAATTATAGTATATGTACATTAATTAATTATTTAAAATATAATAAACACAACGGTAATAACCGAGTATTCATGGTTTACCATAGATCATTTCAAATATCTTTGCACCACAAGGACATTAAGGCGCTGTGTAGAAACTTTGGACAGAGGTAGATTACAGGCTGGAATATCTTCGATTTATTTTTTCACGTCACCAGGACATAGTCTCAGCCTTCACCAATGTACATAACTTTTGCTGCCACTTCGTCAGTTCATGATTCTATGCAGCTTTTTTTGAAGAACAAGCAAAATCCTGAGTTATGGGCTACAATATAAATCTTCACTCAATTCATTAATTATTAATAACTATTCTGTTCCGAAAAATAAATGTTTTACTTTTATTAAAATTGCATTTTACCGGGAAAAAATATAAATGTATATTTTCATAAAATACCCGCTATTCAATAAAATAACTATACAATTTATAAAAACACTTTGATAAATATGAAGAAAAAATTACTTTTCTTAAGAAATCTCATAAGAATTGTAACTGTTTTCCTCAAAAGGATCCACTTATTATTGCCCAAAGAAATATCAGGAATGTAACATTATGTTAGTTCGCTTAGAAGAAAATTTAGTAATTACTTTTATAAATTAATAAAACAAATCATCATTTCTTTAGTCCTTGTTTCTTCCCAAGTTTCCGCCTTTTAATCCTGTTTGGTTCTAAATTCTCCTTTTCCGACGAATTGTTGCTATCAACTGTTGGGCGACGCGCCGACCTCCTCACTCTGGTCTGGTAATCTGCAGTCTCCATTGTAGACAGTATACCTTCCCTGAAAATTGCAATGAAGATAAGTAAATACTAACAGATTTTAGGGTAAGCAATACATTGATTAGCCACTAAAAATGTTATGTAAGAAAGTGAACTTCCTCCTTTCTAGACATCCCCTCTCTTGTCAAGTACAGTTCTCATCCTTTCTATATAAGAAAAGCTACTGCGGATTCTGCCACTGTTAATTGGTGGCACTGTATGTGATAACATCAGGTGATCTGCTTCATTGCTGGCTAAGATAAAAAAACTTACATGTCATTAGATCTGTGAACATCCACAGAAACTTTAATAGGACCACTACAGTCCATATCATCACTGTCAGAATCATTTATAACACAATGAGAATAAGAATTATCAGTTATTCCAATGTCTCTATCAATAATGTTTTCTTTATGAATGTCTGCATGTTTGTTTACATCATCTACAAATAAATCTGGACTAGAAATGTTATCATATGAAGGAGATAAGTGCTTTGGTTCAACACTGACATGAATATCATCATCTGTTTGAGTTTCTATTGAATGTTTGGCAATTACTGTATCATTATGGTCTTCATCTTCTCTTAAAACTGTAATAGTACTGGAAATACTGTTTGTGTTAATAGTTATTGATACATTATTTGAATTTAGCCTCTGATTTTCTGTTCTTATACTTCCAACATCATTCTTTAAGCAAAAATAACATGATTTAAAAAGATAAGACTTTTTATAATAATAAACATTTTTTTGTTTGATACTGTATGGTTTTACCTCATCTTGAGGTTCAGATAAAGCTTTTAGTTCTATGCTTTTTGGGATGTCCTTAATATTATAAATTGATTCTTTATTATGTTCTTCTACAACTTTTAGCCATGCATCTTTGTCTTTATCAACTTGTGTGTCTTCTATTATAATAGTATCAAGTTCAACATCAGTATTATTTTCATACTTACTACAATCAGTTTCTACTTTTGATGATTTCTTGTTAAAATTAAGGCTGTTCTCTGGTTCGCTTTTATTTTTTGCTTCATTCTTATAATAGTTTAGCAAAGAGGGACTTAATACATTCTTTGAATTTTTCTTATTTTTAGAGTAGTTCTTTTCTTTTTTTATTTTCTTTGATTTCTTATTCAAATCATTTTCTTGATTATGCAGTTTAAGACCTTTTTTGAACTTATTTTCTCTATTGGTTCTAATTGAATTATTTACATTGATATCTGAAAATGGTTTTCTTACTGGTTTTTCCACATTTTCATTTTTTTCAAGCCATTTTTGTACTAAATTTATTCTAGTGTTCATTGTTGTGGAATGCGAGTTATTCAATCCCTCACCAGCAAAAAATGAAGGTACTAAATTTTCCTTGTCATCACTTGTTTGAATGTTGGAACTCTTTCTTTTGTTATAATATTTAACTGAAGCTTGAATACATTCTGGGAATAATTGATTTTCAATTCTCAATTTTTCCGAAAGTCTGTATCTCCTGTATACTGAGAATAAAAATTGTATATTGGTAAAATTTAATTCTATACTAATTTTACCAAGTAATAAGAATAGATAAGAATATAATATTTACCGTCTATATTAAATGCTTCCTGAAATGTACTTAGAAGATTTGATACATTTTGCACAAGTTGCCCCTGAACCAGGTCAACCACAGGCTGTGTTTTTGTACTATTAATACAAGTTAAACATTCATCCGCTACTATTACGCATTCGCCACATATTATGTGTCCGCAAGAATATCGCAGTCTATCACCAGACAGTTTATCGCTACAAATATAAAACAGATGTCAGTTGATAAAACTTTAGCAAACTATTTGCGAAATTGCAATAAATCTTACCAGACGCCACAGCGATTATTGTCTGCAATAGTTTTTACGTGTTTAACTACTTCGTCTATATTAAAATGCGCTGTCATATCCCTAAGTAAACTTTTTAATGCTAACTATAATTATTGACACCATTATTTACAACGCAATATTCAAAATTTAGACATATCAGAAACAAAACAATTACACGTCATAAACCTTTTTGGCCATTCATGAGAAGGGAGAGGGAAAAGGGGAATGATTCCGTGGTCTATGGGTGAAAAGCACAGAATAAAATTCGATATTTATGGTCAAAAACCAAAAGCGCTTTGTTTTCAGTGCGAAGGGAGCATTATCAATCTCTCATGGAGGATATAAACGCAAATACGCTTCAGCCGTTTTTTTTTACTTTTGGAAAGTAGGCACACCTTTAAGCCTATTAAACAAGTAACAATTTGGTATATCTAGTTTTTGAAATAAATTGGGACTTTACTTTTATATTCCACACACATTTATCGTAGAAAAAAAGATTCCGTCAAAACGTCGAAGAAGGCATTAAATGCATAACACATCAAAATCTCATTGCATACAAACATTCTGATATACAAAATTAGAGTTCACGTTTATTGGTGTATTTACATAGATCTAGAGTATTCAATATGAAGGTTTATAAACGAAAGTACCAGTAACACACTTGAAGTAAACAAAGTAAATGTAAACAGGTTCAAGTGGAGTAGATTCACTACCTATTATTACAGAGCGAAAGGAAATTAAAACGCAACAATAAAATATTTTAATAAATTTATTAAAATATTACATTTTTAAACCAGCTTTGTCCTGGTAAATTCACGCAAGTGTTAAACACTAACAAACAATGCATTATTATAAAATCATTTATATATAGGTACGATTTGTACATGCAAGGGACTAATATCCATAATGAAAAATGTACCCAGAAAATAAAACAATGTAGGTTGAAATATTGGCAATACTAGAATTTAAATTATTATAAAAATTAACATAAATATTAGTTTTGTAATCATATTACATAGTAAAAGTAAATCATAAATGCAAACATTATTTAAAATTATCACTACACATTTAACTTATCACCAAAATTATGAAATGTAATAAAATGCAATAAATGTATTAATGTTACACCCCAACCAGTTGCACACATTTATATCAGAATTCCAAGAATTATTATTAGAATACTATTTTGAACAAATATTTTTTTTACTTTTGTGGAATATTGAAGCTTCTAACGATGGCGGATAAAATATTTAATCTTAATATTTAATTTCACAATTAAATGCGCTAGTGGGATGACACCACGTCTATAGTTAAGTACTTCCACTTGTCTCTAAGACCTAATGAGTCCATAGGGTAAATATTTAAACATTTCTATTAAGAACAATAAATTTCTATATTTATTTGAACGTATTTGTACATTACAACAAAATCGAACGAATGTAATTGCCATTCGACAGTCTTTTGCAGCCCTTTTGAAGTACACTCTCACAATATTTACGCGCGACATGTTTGAACGTAGTGCATTGGGCGATTAGCCACCACTCGTTCAGCCGAAACGGAAAATAGGTTTTCACTCCCACAGCAATGCGGTTGTAAACCTATTGTCCCATATACAAAGATTTGTCGCGTATATTATAATAATTAACATCACAGATATTTACAAATATAAATTCAGTGTATTGAAAATGTGCGGAATGTCAGCACTATCACCATTTTAAAAGTCAATAAAAATATATGACTAACAACAATGAAGGAGAAACCAACTCAATTGTATTAACATAGTCTTAAATGGAACAAGTTGTAACAAACAAGTGCAAAAACAAGTTGTATAATTGAATTCAATTTTCAGTGAATATTTTTTTAGCAATTTTATGCTATTATAACAATGTGTCAGTTTGAAAAAAAACTGAATGCAAATTAACTGATAGGCGGCACTAATAGTCTGACTAGGAATATAAATTATTTTAATACATTGCTAGGTTTTTATATTCATAATCAGACATAAAGTGTGATTAGATTGAAATAAATAACAAATTGATTATCAATTTTGTAAATATGGCTCTTATAGACTTATAAGTTTAAAATTCAAACTTAAAAACTAACTTTTCAAATACTAAAAGATTGTCATGCCGCTACGACTAATTTATTAAATAATTATAAATATAATACTTATTATTAAAAGATTTCTTCAATCGATATAAATTGTTCATGGAAATAGGGGGAGGTAAATTTTCAGCAACATAAGGCACGGTTGCCTTGTAACTAGTTTAAAAAACCATACTATCTCATAAACTAAAACAAAAATTAAACACATTATTTATCACAGTGGTGAAATTACGCAACTACTAAGAAAACATTAGGTGCTATTATGTTGCAATGACGTACATTTTTTTTAAGTAAAAATGTTTTATAAAAAATAATGTTTTGAAGAAATTTACATTTACACTAAATTTTATATTAAGCCAGAGATGCCTAGCAGCACCCATCGGCTTGCTTGAAACACTACATATAGCAATATATCGTCAAAATCTAAGGCCATTGACTAACCCTAAAGCCTAAAGTAGGAGAGGCCTGTGTCCAGCACTGGCCTACGACAGTTTTAAAGAAGACTAAAGTTAAGATTTGTCCAGATTAATTACATTCCTATGAATTCTTTCTAAGAAAAACTAATGGAAATCCATGTCCAACTCCAACCTAAATCCATTCAATACAGAACATACCAAGAAAAAAAAGAACATATTTTCTTATATATTTGTCCCCTTATTTACTTACCACCACTTCCTCGGTATGAGTAATTATATAACATTAATTTAAAAAGCTTTTTTGAACCAATGACAAAGGCACAGCCACTAGAAATCATAATAAGTTGCTGAATAATTAGCAAAATATTATTTTTGTAGTTCTTTTACAAACATTGTAAAATAATATTTTTTTAATCAACAAATATAATGGCAGCACCTTATTTTGACTCAGGATGAATTGTGCTTTTTAAACTGTGTTAAAATGTATTAACGTTCTCGTCGTGCCCTTTTAGCTCTTGCAGTTGGCGCAGGTGTATGATCGTCATCATCCCTTCGCTTCGTCGGTGCCTGGGGCCGCTGCAGTTGACTTTGGGCAGTTAGTTGAAGCTGTAAGGCGTGCGTATTTAATCTCTCTGCCAGTAGTAATGGCTTAAGTGCTGCCATTTTGTGACTATACAATGTTACACGTGGTCTACTATTAACAGCAGCCGTTAACTGTTCCCGAACACTCATTTCTGTGTTATCTGAATTATTATTCCATTGATCATTATTTTTCTGCACATGTGTATCTTCAGTATCTGTTTCCTTTTTCTCCTCAGGTGTTTCTGGCTCCTCACAATCAGGGCTGCATATGATATGCACTTGTGCCCTTACTTCAGCATCAAATTTAGATATAGTGCTAACAAGGGGCTTTGCCCATCCTATATGTAAAATGGGAGTTTGACTACCCTCTTCCCACTTGCATATGCCATCATAAAACCTTAAATCAAAATTTATAATCGGTTGCAGTTAAAATTTACAAAAAAATTATACAATTCATCCAAACCTTGACATTAATAATAATAATAAGTTTTAAAAGAACTAACCTTAATAAAGATGAAAAGCATTCTGGATCTTTTAAAATAGACCTTGCCGAATGCCCTGAACTTTCAGCTTTCATAAGCTGTGGAATTAGTTCATTTGCAATCTCTGCAAATTCTTTGTATATTTCTTCATCATCACGAGAATAGTTGTAACTGAAAAAATGTTTTTTAATTATGCAGCTTAGAAAATAAGATTTATGAATTAATAAAGACATTAAGAATTAAAAATATAAACTCTAAAACATTAATAGTATTATTATGAAAAGTTAAAATTAAAAAAAATTACTTACTGTCTTATTACATCACCAGCACAAGCCCATGCATTAAAAGCTTCCTTATACATCTTATGTCGATGATAATAGCCCCCTTGGAATGTGTAAGGATACACATGTCTGTCATCATAATATGTTCTCGCAGATCTGATGGCTTGCACATAAAGAGCTGCTGAGTCTGGCCTTACAGGCTTACTACCATTTTCTTCCAATATCAATGTGTCTTCTGTACTTTCAGAGCAATTTGATATTCTCATATATTCATCCAAGTCACCCAAATTTCCCAAAGCCATTGGATATGCATCTAAATGACCTAAAACATTCCATCAAATTATTATTTATTTTATTTCTAATACTAGTAGTAAATAAGAATATTATTAACAATTTTAATGATTTACAAATTTTATGTACTTAATTACCATACCAAAATCATATAAGAGCCAAAGAAGTCTATGTTGCATTTGAGCCACTTCATGGACATCAATTGTTGGTGTTAAAGTTGGATTAATTGATGAGACTAATGCAGCCAGTTCCATCATGCGGGTACAAACAACAGGTTTTCCAGCCACATACAACCATGAGCGAGCTGATACACCATCACCCACTGACCGTCCCCTTTTGTCTTCATTACCTTTGCCATGCCATGTAACCTTTAAATCACAATTTTGTTAAAATTAATGGTTTTATCCTTATATCATCTAAAGATAAGTTTATTTAAAAATGTTATGTACATATTTTTCCAGCAGCAATTGAACATAAGTCTTATGCAATGATTGTCTAGAAGCTAGTATAAACCTTTTTTTAATACAAATTTTAAATTAAAACAAAATTACCTCAGCCGTATCTATGCCATCTTTTCCAAAAACCACCCAAGCGTGATCTTCTGATAGCGCGAGATGTACATCCTTTTTACTTAAAACTTGACATCCCGCTGTAACTGCAAAGGCAACACCAAAGCAATCGAGTTTATTTCCAGTTAAAAAACTGTAGACTGATTGAAGATGAGCTCGGTCCTTGTAATAACTTCGAGTCAAAGAATTCCACACGACATCTGCTACTCGCTTAACCAAGTCACGAGTTGCAAATTCCCCATTAAGTAACTTGGCGTCAACACCTGCTCTCATCAAAGATACAAAACGCTCATAGAGAGATTTCACTTCCTCCCATTCTATGGAAGGAAATTTCATTTTAATAAACTTATTAGTCGCCAAATTAACATCTTTTTCGCTGTTTTTCACATTGGTTAAGTTGTTTTCCACCGCTCCCACTATGATAGAAAACAAGGCAAGATCCGGTTCTTTTTCACTGCGCAATTGATCCTCAAAAATAGTACAAACTTTTTTAATGCTGTCTATAGGGAAAAAATGTTTATATTCCAAAATGTTTGACATTATTTATATTACATTATTTTAAATAATTACAGAAATAAATTTATTTTGCATACACAATAATATTTCGATACGCCGGTTGCCACAGACAAAATATAAAAGTTAAAAAGTAAAAACACCACACAAAAGCTAGACCAAGGAGAAATGTTTTTATTATAATTAAGAAGAAATGTATTTATTGACATTATTAGAAATTTAGGCTATAATTTCTTGGTTAATGTGTGATAGATATTAAGACGAGTACATTATTTAATAGTTTTTTTTGTTATAAGCAAACGTTTTCCTGGTGGTTTTCAGGTGGCAATGATACAATGTTTTAAAAACTCTAAAATTTTTATGGTTCTTGTCATTGTCAGCAATTGTCAATGTCAAATGCCAATAAAATTTAATATTTACTTAATCGCGTAAAAGTTTGAACATGTTCTTTGTATAATACATTAATTATATGAAATATAAAAATTGTATTTGACAATAAATATTTTTATAATTTAAATTTTATTAGTAATTATTACAGACAAATATTTTCATGGATTGGCATTAAATCATTAAAAAAATTGATAACATGAACAGTACCAGCGAGAACCATATTATACGTTATCGTAAAAAATATAAATATATGAAAAAACGAATTAAAAGTCTGATAATAGTAAGTTTCATCATATTTTACCATCTTTCCCTTTCCACTTCTTTCTAATATGGAAAAGATGGGAAGAGGAACTGGATTTAGAGGAGGTGATGCATGGGAAGGAAAAAAAATTATTCTCTTTCCATGCTTCCCCTCCGATATCAATCGAAGGTAGGTAATGCATCGGTAATTGCAGATTCTACGGATACCGGTTGCTACAATTCTTTGATGAATTCAAGTGGCTGCTTGCTTGTTTGCCACCTTACTTCATGAAAATAAGTATCTAGGCCCCCAACCTTAATAAACATAGTAGGTATCTCAAGAATATTTTGTTTATTTTTAGGAAAATGCAGCATTATGTGATGAAGTGGCCAAAATTCAAGAAAATATACTTATTGTAAAAGATGAACGAAAGTTTTTACTGCGTAAGTTGCTAGATTTGGAAAATGAATCTGAAACACAACAAAGTAGATATGAAAATATTACTCATAATGGTTCAAAGTCTAAACCCAAGAAAAGACGAAGTCTTGAAGATGGAGGGAAAAACACATCATCTAATGCTTTAAGCTAATGAAATTCAGTATGTGTTTTATATCAATACTTGGACATAAAAAGTTGTTCAATTTTATTTATATAAATAAAATTAAAACTTATTGTTTTTTTTACCTTACTAATGATAGATTGAATATTAACTAATTTTTTAATCCCCCACCACAGTGGGCTACAGCTTTGGCTTGCTCTATAAATCCTCTTCTTGCCCAAGCCAACATAATTCTGTGAGAACCTACACCCACATTAGTTGGTTCCTTTTTGAGTAGAGGGGTTAACCTAAAAATGTAAATGGCTTTTGGCAACTTTCAGCATTTTATCTAGAGTATAAATAGAACCTAGGGCCACAATTACCTTCAAACCATGAATTACCTATATAATGATTTAATTTAACTAACCATTGTTAGTTTCTGATGGCATTTCTATTGTCCTATAATGTATAACATCTGAATGCTATTAATCAATGTATTAACCAATTGCAGTTTTACTGTCCAAAATCTTTTTGGCAAATTGGAAAAACAAAATAATAACCAAAAATTATTCATAGATTTTTATAAAGTACACATTTGAAGATAATGCAATCTTACATTTCTAATATGAAAAACTGCATGTTTGCATTGAATTGGAATATATCTTAATAATGTCTTATGTTTGCAATAATATAATTATTACATATTTTGAAACTACACACAACACTGATATTGGTAATTATGGCTATAATGATATTATTAGAATTCAAAATTGATTACATATTTCGCTGCATTAAGTGCAGGTTTACTCCAAAAAATTGAGATACATCAAGAATATACTTCATTAGCATTTTTACATTAGAAATATTCATTCACCGACGTCTTCTTCGCCTGCAAATGACAAAAGTTGACTACTAGGCTTTTGTCTCACTCGGTTTTTTCTCTTTTGACTCTTACTGTCAGGTAACATTGTTGGTTTTAATTTAGCTTGAAAAATAACCTTTTGGCTTAGATCAGCTTTTATTTCATTTTTTTCTTTGTCTAATCTTTTTGTCTCCGCTTCTGCCTCCTCTGCAGTAAGATCTCCGTCTTTCAAAACAACAACCTGAGGTTTCTCACTTTCTTCGTCATCAACAAAATCCTCATCCCTATTTTCCAATTTATCAAACTTATGATTTGTATCGTCATATCCTGCTTCTTTTTTTAGCATTTTAAGGAAATGGGGGTCTTCTGGTTTGATGTAGCTAACATTTCTTTTTCTGTTCATATTCGAGACTGAACGCGAAGCGCAGCTTATTCTAAAAAGTTATATTGTTTTAGATATTTGCAATAATAATTTAATACTAAAACAAATTAAAAATCATAAGATACTAAGCTAAAGTCGTCATTTATCATAAGTGCGGACATTTAACATAAACAGTGGAAGATTGCTACTACTTTACTTCGTACTTACATTCAAAATATTAACAGTATTGTAAATTGTTCAAATTCTACACATATACGTGTTAAACCTTTATATTTCAGTTGGTAAATTTACAGATAGTCATATAATATTTATGTGAATAATGTTGAGTGATTGAAAATTCTGGAGGAAACCTTGAAAATATCAATAACACGCGAAGTTCGTACGTGTTAAAATCAAAGAGTAGATAAAGTTAAAAAGTCCTTAAAAATAATAATAAATGCCCATTTTACACATCTTAGTTTATAGATTTATAGGCAAAAATACGATTATATAAACTACGCTAACTGGAAACATCCTCTTTGAAAATATGTTCTTTATCTATCTATCTCCTGCCGAAAACTTCCTGTAAAGTGAAATTTTTTAATTTTCCAAAGTTTTTACTAAGCCTCTTTAAACTAAAGATTAGTTTCTAGAAACCTACTCACAACAGAAGATTAATTTTGCTATAGCATTTAAAATATCCCCAGTTTTAGTAATTTTATTACACAGTCATACATTACACAACATACAACCAATATACAACAATAATCTATGCTTTGTGCATAGACTTAACGACGACATGTATGTTAGCTTTTCAAGCTTCACGAAAACAACGGATTAGTGTGAATGGAAGTGCAGTTGGTTTATTACGCCGCAAAATAGATTTGATGGTAAGTTATATCATGCATATTAAATAAAATAAGTTATAAGATTATATGGCATCAAATATTTTCGAATCGCCTAAAAACACAAACGTACATTTCGACAAAAAACGTCATTGATAATCGTACGGGGTGTGTGCTCGATTTATAATGCTTTTTATTTTAATAAGTATTCATTTATGTCGCTAAACCGAACAACTGTTACATTTGGAGGAGTTCTACATGTTAAAGATTATCAATGTTATTTTTGAGTTACTTAAGTATACTTTATAGGTTATGGCTTGTTTTGTCCTTTCTAATTGTACGTTTATTTCTTTCAGTATGTCATGTTATATGGAATGAATGTGAATAATTCAGGCAATTTTTGATTTTACATAAGGATTTTGAATCAAAACAAAATTTTCTACAAGCATAAAAATGTCGGCACTAGAGCAGCAAGCCACCAAGCTACTGGACTTTAATCAAAAATTGGATATCAATTTGCTGGATAATATTGTTGGTTGCTTATATTCTTCTGTTGGAGAACAACAGCGTATTGCACAAGACATCCTTACAGCACATAAGGAGCATCCAGATGCTTGGACTCGTGTTGATACAATACTGGAATACTCCCAGAATCAGGAAACTAAATACTATGCTTTACAAATTTTGGAGCAGGTAATACAAACACGATGGAAAGTTTTGCCAAGGAATCAGTGTGAAGGTATCAAAAAATACATTGTTGGATTGATAATTAAAAACTCATCGGACCCAGTAACCATGGAAAATAATAAAGTGTATTTGAAAAAACTCAACATGATTTTAATACAAGTTTTGAAAAGGGAATGGCCCCATAACTGGGAGACTTTTGTAAGTGATATAGTTGGAGCATCCAAAACGAATGAGAGTCTATGTCAGAATAACATGGTGATATTAAAGCTGCTCAGTGAAGAAGTATTTGTTTTCAGTACTGGCCAACTCACTCAAACAAAAGCTAAGCATCTCAAAGATACCATGTGTTCTGAGTTTAGCCAAATTTTTCAACTTTGTCAGTTTGTTCTGGAAAATTCACAAAATGCACCATTGGTTGATGCTACTCTGCATACTCTTTTAAGATTTTTGAATTGGATTCCGCTTGGCTACATATTTGAAATGAAATTAATAAGCACTTTAATTTTTAAGTTTTTGAATGTTCCAATGTTCCGCAACGTCACATTAAGTTGTTTGACTGAGATAGCTGGTGTGACTGTCAGTAACTATGAGGATCAATTTGTAGCCCTATTGGTGCAAACAATGGAGCAACTGGAAGTGATGCTGCCTCGTAATACAAACATAAGAGAAGCCTATGCTACTGGGAGAGATCAGGAACAAATATTTATACAAAACTTGGCCCTATTCCTTTGTACTTATTTAAAAGAGCATGGACAGCTTATAGAGCGAAGAGGTTTAACCAATACCCTTATGGATGCTCTTCGCTACCTCGTTCTGATATCAGAAGTAGAAGAGGTAGAGATCTTTAAAATTTGTTTAGAGTTTTGGAATGCATTGGCTACTGACTTGTACAAGATAGCGCCATGTTCTCATTCAGGAGGATTGTATAGCCTTGGAAAAAGCATGGGCCGGAAAGCACTATATGCTGATGTGCTGAGCAGCGTTCGTTACATAATGATATCTCGAATGGCAAGACCAGAAGAAGTTCTTGTAGTAGAAAATGAAAATGGTGAAGTTGTCCGAGAATTTATGAAGGATACTGATTCAATTAATTTATATAAAAACATGAGAGAAACACTTGTTTATCTTACTCATTTAGATTACCAAGATACAGAACGTATTATGACAGAGAAACTACAAAATCAAGTCAATGGAGCTGAATGGTCATGGAAAAACCTTAATACACTTTGCTGGGCTATTGGTTCGATATCTGGAGCCATGATGGAAGAAGATGAAAAACGGTTCTTAGTTGTTGTGATTAAAGACCTTTTGGGGTTGTGTGAACAGAAGAAAGGCAAAGATAACAAAGCTATTATTGCCAGTAACATTATGTATGTTGTTGGGCAATATCCACGCTTCTTAAGAGCCCATTGGAAATTCTTAAAAACAGTTGTAAACAAATTGTTTGAGTTTATGCATGAGACTCATGATGGCGTTCAAGATATGGCTTGTGATACTTTCATAAAAATAGCATTAAAATGTCGACGTCATTTTGTCACCACTCAAGTGGGTGAAGCGTGTCCATTTATTGAAGAAATATTAAGTACAATCAGCTCTATAATTTGTGATTTACAACCATTACAAGTGCAGACGGTGTATGAAGCAGTTGGTTACATGATAAGTGCACAGGTGGACCAGGTTGCTCAAGAACAACTCATTGAAAGGTACATGGTTCTTCCTAATCAAGTATGGGATGATATAATATCACAAGCATCCCATAATGTTGATGTTTTAAAAGATGCTGAGGCTGTCAAACAGCTAGTAAGTATTCTTAAAACAAATGTGCGTGCTTGTCGAGCATTGGGACATCCCTATGTTGTACAACTTGGAAGAATATATTTAGACATGCTTAATGTTTACAAAGTTATGTCTGAAAATATCAGTCAAGCTATCACTTTAAATGGTGTAGCAGTAACCAAACAGCCCCTTATTAAGAACATGAGAATAATAAAGAAAGAGACTCTGAAACTGATAGCAAGTTGGGTTTCTCGATCTACGGACAACAGTATGGTGTTGGAAAATTTTATTCCACCTCTTCTTGATGCTGTTCTATTAGACTATCAGAGGACAGCCGTGCCTGATGCGAGAGAACCAGAGGTACTCTCTTGTATGGCTGCTATTGTGTATAAACTCGGAGGACACATTACTTCTGAGGTACCGAAAATTTTTGATGCTGTTTTTGAATGTACATTGGAGATGATTAACAAAGACTTTGAAGAATATCCAGAGCATAGAACAGAATTTTTTTTGCTGCTACAGGCAGTCAATACTCATTGTTTCAAAGCATTCCTGAGTATACCACCAGCACAGTTTAAATTAGTTTTGGATTCCATAATTTGGGCATTTAAACATACAATGAGAAATGTTGCCGATACTGGTCTTCAAATATTATTCCGATTGCTTCAAAATGTTGAACAACATCCTCAAGCTGCACAGAGCTTCTACCAGACATATTTGTGTGATATTTTAGAACATGTGTTCAGTGTTGTTACTGACACGTCACATGGTGCCGGCCTGACAATGCATGCCACTATTTTGGCGTATATTTTCTCCTTGGTGGAGGCTGGCCGAGTCACAGTTCCTCTGGGACCTACTCCAGATAATGTTCTGTACATACAGGTAACTAAAATTGTAATTTTCTCCAATTTTGAGCATGTGTTAACTTACATTTACTTTGGACTGATTTAAATTTAGGTATTAAAAATTATTTTCATTGTATTTATGGTAGTATTTCATAATCTTTCTAGTTACCACCTTTTAGTTAGATTGCATAAATGTGGGTGTGGTGTAAAATAACATTTTTTTTTTTAGGAATATGTGGCAAATCTTCTGAAAACTGCATTCCCTCATCTATCAGATAATCAAATAAAAATAACTGTGGAAGGACTGTTTAATTTGGACCAAGATATTCCAGCATTCAAAGATCATCTAAGAGATTTCCTAGTTCAGATTCGTGTAAGTATTCATCAAGTCAGCTACTGTAATTTAGTGTTTGACTCATTGGCCATAACATTAAATGAAATTCTTAAAATTTGAATTTAAAGATGATACATTATTTTGGGTATAGTTTGAATTTTAAGTGTGAATATTTATTATCACCAATAAGATATCAGATGCAAACATATATATATTACCTCTACATGGAGTGTTTCATACAAGTTTGATGTTTAATTGTAAGATGATTTTCGCAATGTCATTGCATGACACGAATGTTAACTAATAGGTATAATGAAAAATGTTTCCAAAAAAATATATTAATCAGAAATTACTTTTAAACCAATCAAATGTGGTAAAGGTTAAATAAGATTAAATATAATTGCATATAATTAAACAATTTTAAGTTGTTAATGTGTTTAATTGGATAATATATTACTTAATTTATTTCGTTGTCCATAACATGTTTGTACTAAATCAGGAAATGCACATTTCAGGAATATACCGGTGAAGATGACAGTGATCTGTATTTAGAAGAGCGGCTGTTTGCTCTTCGTCAAGCGCAAGAAGAGAAGCGAAGGGTGCAACTGTCTGTACCGGGCATCCTCAATCCTCATGAATTACCTGAAGAGATGCAAGATTAATGTCAAGTAGACTTAGTGGTCAGGTCTGATAAGCTAATAATAACAGTACATTTAGCATAAATAATGTAGTAAAATGAAATAAGAACAATTGCACATTTTATTCATATGATTAATAATAATTTTGTGTTAAAATTTTTGCGCCAAATTTTATTTTTAACTAATTCGGAATAACGAGATTTAATTATTCTCATGGAAATACATTTCGGAAATAAGTGTTAAGTGGACTGTTGTCATTAAATTGATCTGCTACTTGTGCAGTTTTAACAATACCTTGTTATGCCAGTTGTACAAAGGTCGCTTGGAACAATGCTAGATGATGAATGCAAGGGAAAGATTACAGAACAAGTCTTTTCAGATAAGGTATGTGGAGCTAGCACAAGGCAAATCAAATGGCCTTTATTTAACATAGATATACAGGAACTCACATCACTCTACGTTTGTCTAAAGAAAAACGTGAACATTAACATTTTTTGTTGTCAAATATTCTAGAATTAATAGAAGAAGATGACTGTGATGGTAACCAGTGTGGAATTTTCAACATAATCACTACGGAATCTGAGTATTATCGAGTAGGTTCTAGGAAAAACTTTGTAAGTGAATCGCTGTTAGTAACATTTTTTCTTATGATTTATTATTAAATGTTATCTGAACTAACTTTCATAATGGTTTAGTAACATAACCATTCTTGGTGGGTTTCCGAATGCGTTTTGGGTCCGCTTAACTGTCTTTCAATTTGTGTTTTCAATAAACAGTTAAATAAGAATTTGTGTTTCAATGATTGTTGCAAAATAAAGGCGATCGCGACTCTTCAGACTAGTGTTTTTTTATAAGTTTGGCGTTAGTTTATGTATGTTTCCATCAAGGTGCTTGAAGCTTACCCATATTAAGGTTGCATGTTGACCCCACGCAGATTCTGGATTTCTTTGCAGTTATGTGCAGGTTGCATCACATAATTTAACTTCTTTTTTATAGTATAAGGTAGTAACGAGCAAGCGGCAAATTTTTTAAAATGGTGAAGTGGCCACTGACTAAAGAATCCACATTTGCAGATGCGTTGCCTACCTATCATTGTCATACGAGAAAACGCACAAAAAGAGGTTATTTCATTTTACTATGCGTCCCCTCCACCGCAAAATCCACCTCCTCTTTCCCATCTCTTCCTCATATGAAAAGGGTGGAAAGGAAAAAGGGCCAAAATTAGGTCTACAGGCAAACTCAACAGACGAAACGCGCAACTGCTTGCTTTTTTTTGTGGTCGTAACCGATCGAGCAGCTATACGGATATCTATACGCCCATATTTACAAGGATCATGTTAACGGAAAGTACTTATTTAGGGTAGGTAAGGTGAAAAGAGAAATAGTATTTATTTTCTCTTCAGTAACAGTAAGCACGTAATGTCTACATTGCTTCTGTGTTTAGACCTATTTAGATTAGCTTATTTAAAAAAGGGGCTACTAGACGCCGTTTTCTTATTATTTGCGCTGTTTAGTAAAGAAAATGTTTTGTTGGTATTTATCATAGAAAGGAAAATTGCAGAATAGACTTGTATCCATCGCAACAAAAAAACCTTCGAATTAAATCTAGTAACACCGTTGCCATTACATACTCTTTGCTTGCCATTTGCCAATTCATTAAGTAGTACGAAGGCATGAAGTAAAAATTGATTTTATTTCCACTTACAATATAATTGAATGTATTAAGTTTTCAGTTGTGATTATCCTTATTTTATAAAGTTAAATTAAAAGAAAAAATGGCTAACGTGGAAGAAGAAGTATCTGCAAATGACACGGGAGAAAATAGGTTGGTTTCTAGTGATAACAGAAACGATGAATCAAGTAGATCTAACACTGAAGATGTTGATGTAAGTAAATTTCTACAAAATTGAATGATTTTGGAATGTAAGATCAAAATTCTTATGTGACCCAAATTCTTGCACCATTATTAACAATTTTATCGCTATTGTCAAATCCTTGGTTGTAATCGTAATTATAGCACATACAATTTTATTTTACTAAATTGTTTAACTATGACTTTGTTAAACAATTTAGTAAGCATTAGTGCGATTTCGAGCCAAAAATAAATCATGATCGGGAAAGAAAAACTTATGTTAATTAATTTATTAATTTAGTTGGTTCATAACGTACATTTGTTAATAATGCAATTATACGCTTAATTGCGTATTTATAATCGTAAATTAGACTGATTGTAGGTACAAATTAGAGAAGAGATTAATCCTTAAGAAATTTCTGTCATAAAATAATCTTACACCTTCTACTTATTCCCCTAAGCTGAGATTGTGATTGTTGAAGTGGTTTAATTCTACTTATGAACTTGATTTACTTTTTTTTTAAATTTTAAACCATATTTTGAAAGTAGATCATTAGCATTATTTTAACTTTTTTTTTACCAAAATATGTAATTTTTTTATACTTGGATACAATACATATTATGCTTTTTATGAATAGATGCTCATCAGTCAGATCAAAATCTTATAAACAATCTGTTTTTCTGAATTAAAAAGTTTGTTAATTTTTATATTCTATTGTTGCATCAATATTTAAATGCTCAAATGCTCAATGTTGTCTTTTTTCGCTTATGATAAATACCTTGTAATGTTTTGAAAATAATCTGTTCTGAGTACATAAGCTGTAGGGAACTCACAAATAAGAAGTATTTACATTGTTTGCTGTTTGATTAATTTTGTTGTCTTAGTTGATAAAAATGCAAAAATTGTGGCAGACAATTTTATTATTTATTCAATTATCAAGGTACACACATTTTATTACACAATATAACCTTAAAATATGAAGATTTCTTCTTTTAAAATATGGAGGTTTGTAGAAAGAGCAAACAGCTGTTAGTAACAATAAAAATATTTTTTTTAGAGATATAAAGTTAAATCTTCCATACACATAAAAGAAAATCACGTTAGTTATACTTATTAAAACTCAAGAAAGACTTAACTGATTTGTCTGAAAATTGGTGCGAAAACTTAGAACTAGGAATTGGCATATCACCTTTATTAACCTTTTTTTATAATCTGTCACAGATGAAGTCAGGGCTAAAGCTAGTCTGTTAAAAATTATTTTATATTTTTTCAGTTCAATGCACAAGTTGATGAACAACGGCGCCGCATGCAGCCAACAAAACTGGAATCATTCTTTGCAATCACTAAATCACTTATTTTAAGAGCTCTGGTTCTTTATTTTATTACATCAATGTTCCATAATACTTTTTCACCAAAAACTGATGTCACGACTCCCACTGGTGCAGCTCGTGTGCCAGCAGTTAATATGTTTTCCAATGGGACAGTATTAGATATGTATTGTTATATATCTGAGAAAGAAATTTTAAACAACATTGATGAGTTACAGTTTGTTTGGAAGCAAACTGGTCTTGTTTATGGTGACTGGTATGGTGGTCCAAATGGAGATGGCACATATACTTTTTCAATAGAAATAACACCTTCGAAAACACTTGTAAATAATGGCTCCATTTACCTTCATACTTACATAGTACACTCAGGCAAATCACCAAATCCAAAGGATAAAAACAATTATGCTGGTGCTCATATCACATATAACAAGAAAATGTTGAACAAATACAAAAAATTGAAATACCTAAAAACTCATAACTTATTAACTGGACAAACAGAAAAATCAGAGGAAGAAATAAAAAAAGCAGAGACAATGAAGGAAGAGATTGTATCACATTGGCATCCTAACTTGACAATTAATCTTGTTACTGACCAGAGTAACTGGGTGAAGGGTAGTGTGCCACCTCCACTTGATGAGTTCATTTACTTTTTGCCTGATGGTAAAATGTACAAGCCTGCCGTATTTTTAAATGATTATTGGAATATGATGCGTGATTATGTACCTATAAATAAAACAACAACCAAACTTCAATTGCAACTGACTTACCAACCATTGAGTCTTTTAAAGTGGCAATTGTACACTGCTCAAGTAATGAGAGATAAACTAAGTGTGTTCTCTGCATTAGGAGCTGAGGAACAGGATGAAGAACAAGACACCGTAAAGGAATTACTTTTGGATACATCACCATATTTGCTTGCATTGACAGTATCTGTATCTGTACTTCACTCAATATTTGAATTGCTTGCTTTCAAAAATGATATTCAATTTTGGAACAACAGACAATCTCTGGAAGGACTATCTGTTAGATCGGTGTTCTTTAATGTTTTCCAATCGACGGTGGTTCTTCTCTATGTCTTGGACAATGAGACTAATCTTATGGTCAGAATTTCATGCTTCCTTGGCTTGATGATTGAAATTTGGAAAATTAATAAAGTTATGGATGTTAAATTGAATAGAGAGAAACGAATATTTGGAATACCTACGATGACATTTAAAGATAAAGGTTCCTATATTGAATCAAGTACTAAACAATATGACATGCTAGCTTTTAGATATCTCAGCTGGGCTTGCTTCCCTCTGCTCATTGGTTATGGTGTATATTCACTTTTGTACCAAGAGCACAAGGGATGGTACTCTTTTGTTCTTAACATGATGTATGGATATCTGTTGACATTTGGTTTTATTATGATGACACCACAGCTGTTCATCAACTACAAATTGAAGTCTGTGGCACATTTACCATGGCGCATGATGACATATAAATTCCTTAATACATTTATTGATGATATATTTGCATTTGTTATTAAAATGCCAACTATGTACCGTTTGGGCTGCTTCAGAGATGGTGCGTATATTTTTTTTAAAAGTTCATATTTTGTTGGTATAGTGCATCGCAAAATCCCCTGTTGCATGGGTTAACTTGATAGTAGTGTGTTTGCACACTATATCTCGTGACTACCAAATGCACATCAGATTTGGACACTTACAAGTTACTTATGAACTCTATGGGCAGTGTTTTTACATATGCCCAGCTTTGTTAAAATTAAGTAAGTTTCCCCATATAAAATCTGCTGCTTGTCAATTCTTATATCTTTGTATTCGTTTTCAGATATTGTGTTCTTCATTTTCTTGTACCAACGTTGGATCTACAAGGTTGATCACAAGAGAGTTAATGAATTTGGCTTCTCTGGAGAAATGGAACAGCAAAAGAAGCAATCTGAAAATGGCAATTTGGCTATTTCTGAAGGTGAAACTCAAGAACCTGGTGACAAGAAGAATGATTAAATAGTGCTTGTCTAGTTTTTGATAGTTAGTAAAAATAATATAAAATATGTAACTATAAAGTTACTAGAAGTAGTATCATTTGTCTTTTAAATTATATTGTTGTAGCCGTGTGCATTAGATACATGAAGTGTTCTGGCAACTCACCAGCTCATAATCTGTATAAAATGTTAATAAAATGTTGTGTAATTTAATTTTAATTTAATGCTGTTTTGAATTTATAATAATATATTTACTGGTATCAAAAGTTTTACGATTTTCTTTAGACATTTAAGAATAGTCCAAATGGCATAAATTCAATTTCTATTTGTCCTACCATATTTGAAGAATTGAGACATGTTACTAATTTAAACAATACTATCCAAAGACGTACTGCTTACAAATATTTTGGAAAGTATTTGTTTATTTAGCCCTTTATATGGTGGCGAGTATTATTAATGCAGTTAATAATTTTAAGTAGTAAAATGTTCTGAATAGTAAAATATTATTTTGTGATTTACGCATGTTTAGTTCACCTGCAATTTTCAAATCTGAAATGAAATTTTTTAATTATGTAATTGCTATTTATTTGAAATAGTTATGATTTGTATTGTTTTTTTGTTGACCAAAGAGCTAAAAAGAGAACTTTTAAAGCAACTACATTATATATTAATGTGCCGGCTTGTAGACATTTTGTTTTTAAGCATTTATAAATGTTAATTTATATTTGTTCTTAATAACTAGATAAAATTGTTTTATTTATATTACCAAGTATATTAAATTAAATTGTGCGTTTTCATACTATTGTTATGTATTTTAAATTTATCAATGTATTTATGTGTATTTAATATTTGTGATTTTGTCGTATTTATGTATTTACAAGTTTAATTGTTATATTGCACAATGTATGTCACGCGAGTACATATTTAACTATAGTTTAAAATACGGTGTTTAAATTAAATGTAATATCAATAAATTGTTGTGTCTGTATGTACGCTTTTTCATCCCACTTGTAAATGTCATAATAGTTATTTTTGAGTAAAGACAATCAGTGAGTTAACATTATAAAAGAGGGGTAAGTATTTAAAGCAATAACTTTGAATGAGATATTACTGTACAAATTGTACCGGCAACGTATAACTGCATTGTTCAACGTTCACTTTCCAGCTGTATTTTAAAACTCATACGAAATTAGTTTGTACTCCATCTTATGAACCAGCAACGCGTGCAATTAGGTCTTAAGTATATTTATGAGGACAATTACTTTCCTGCTAAGCGACCAGCTAGCTAGCGCAAGCGAATGCCATTATAAAGCAATGTGTTTGGCATTATCGCCGCAGCCATAAAATTAGCGGAAAATAACGTAGTGGAAAAAGGGTCAAACTTAGATTCGAGAACATAGTCCGAGACCTCCGGAATATGATGACAGAAATATTGTGGAATAAAACAAGCATACCACCACCATGACCACACGTCGGTGGCTAAGGGGTCAAGCACTTGACTTGCAATCTGCAGGACCTGGGTTCGAATCCCGCCCTGAACCAATGTGTTTTTCTATTTAAGATTTACATATGTACATTTATCCGACGTTCTTACGGTGAAGGAAAACATCGTGATGCAACCTGCACGTATCTGAGAAGAAATTCAAAGATATGTGTGAAGTCAACCAATCCGCACTTGGTCAGCGGGGTTGAATATGGCCCAATCACCCTTAACTTAGAGTAGGCTCCGAGCTCCTCGGTGGGGACGGTAGTAAGCTGATGATGATGAAAACAAGCATATATTTACACAGTCGTTTATTTAATATGCACAGTGCATTCTACAGCATTTTGAAATTGCAGTGAACAATAAATATGTAAATGTACATTAAATAATTTGGCTATGCTGTATGCCACAACTTATACGTACAATTTTCGCCATCAAATTACATATTTTATAATCTATCATCGTTTTATAATATGTAATTTATTAATAATATAATTAATTAAATTCCATGTATATATTTTTGTAACATTTAAATGTAATTCTAACTGCAATTTAAAACTATAGTAGAATAACTGAAATTTTGCATACGATAAAACGTGAACTTAATAACAAAATAACCAAAGCAATAATAGCATAATTAGAATCATTGAATTATCATGTTATATTTAAATAAGGAATCACATATACTTCATTATTTATATAGTAGGGCCATAGAATGACATTACTTAGTAATAAAGAAATAATACCGGTTCCATGAACCAAAATAGTTGCAAACGAAATAATGAGATGGTATTGCGATATGTACAGGCAACGTATGCGACGTACAACTTTAAACGTTTATATTAAAATCATTCCCAAAACATTAAGCTCAGGGTAGGAGATAGTTCACAATAATAGCCGAATGGCGAAATGGAACCTCAATATCGAATCTTTATCATATACATATCGTAAGCCATTATATTAGTTGGCCATTGTTTTTTAATAGTTTCATTGTAGTATCTTATAGATAGAACCACGGTCGTCATCTAAGAGGACAGACAGATGTTCGTTTTATCTTAATAACATATAATGAATATAAATGCAATATTTTACAAAGATGTGATATATTTATGACACTACGTAGGGTTGAGGTTCCGCAGCTTCGGCTTCGGCCGCGCTGCCCGCCGGCTGCCTGAACGTTCCCGCCGACCTCAAAGGTACTTCGTTCTGGTGAAATTAAATTGAAAAATACAATATAATGTCAAAAAAGCCTACTAGTTTAGGTAAGAATAACATTTCAGATTTTCTGTAAATTCATCCACTTCACGAACAAAATTACGGGTGCCTTCTAGTAATCTTACTAGATTTCTGCACACAAATCTAACCTATATTTTTTCTTATCTTCTAGATCTCTACAGACATTTCGCTTATTTAAAAAAAAAAGCGAAGCAAAGATTTGGATTATCGTATAAAGTACTAGTTGTCCTCGCGGAATAAAAAAAACTTTTTAGCCTGTGTTCTTTCTGACTGTTCTACACATATACATAGTTTTTAGTTGTGGAGATACCTTTTAACAAACATCCATCCAAACATTGGCATTTATAGCATTAGTAATTGTGTGTAGTAACCTGTGTGAGCGTGTCGTGGTCCATGCGCACGACGATGACGGAGCTACCCCCGGCTATCACTGGAGGAGGTACTGGTAGTCGGGAAGGAATCAAAGGAGTCGAAGTCAGATCCACTATAGGTATAGGGGCTACGTGCAGCTGCGGCCTCGTGCTCGCCGCGTGCCGCCGGCCAGAAGTAGTCGTGTCCGTGTTCGAAGCTGTGCAAATACATCATTTTTACTACATTCTCTTACTACTACAATACTTTCTCTATACATTATATAATCAATAAGGTTTTGTTTGTATTGGTAGTTTAAGATGCCAATAATTTGAATGTTAAGAGAGACATTTTTTTTTCATAATTTGTACTTACAAGTCCTCGTACTCCTCCGCCTCCCCCTCGTCGAACGACGAGTTGAAGTCCGACTCGTCATGGCTGTTACTTCCTCTGCACAACAAACCTCCAGATTAATGTAACACTTGATGTTACCATGCAAACTTATAATGTTACGATGATTACAAGACCAGAATAAACCTTTTAGTACCAACATTTTGGCATAAAAAAATATATCATCAGTATCTTCATTAGAAATATTCATTATTGTTTCTATTTATGTATTAAAAAACGAAATGTTATGGATTGATGTTAGATGTACTAAATATTTATTAAAATTACGTATGTTATAATAATAAAAAAAATTAGTATACGAAAAAATACCGGTGATTGTAAAATGTGCTACAAATAAAAAAAATGTAAGAAAAGCATACCGGTCGTTATCGGAGTTAGGATGTGCTTGTGCCGCCTCGTCTTCTGTAAACAATACAGCTTCATATTACTTGGTCTTTTATTATATCACGGGAAGAAATTATAATGAATATTACTGATGAAGATACAGTCAATAGTAGAGTATGATTAAATGTTTAGTAGAGCTAAAGTATATGAAGCTGTATCATTTATAAAACAAATACAGACAACATGTAGTCAGCAGATACCTTCTCTAGACTTGAGCAGGTCCAATCTTTTCTGCTTCATCTCCGCGCTCAGATTCTCAACCATCTTCTCAATAAATGAGTCCAGTACTAAACTCTTGCACTCAGATGTTATTGTTTTCCTGGAAATGTTACGGTGAAAATAAGTGAATGTGTCAGAAACAAATAACGCTTAAAGTGGATTAATTCTGCCGGGGCACTAGTATGGACACATATTTGTCCGTTCAAAGAGAATGTGTAGGTCATTAAAGACAAATATCATCCTACACTTTAATGTGACATTGCATTTGAAATCATCAGTAAGATGTCATTTCATCTAAAAACATTCTTTATCTCTGTCCACCTCCTAAGTGATAGATTTGAATATGTATTACTTGCTGTTACTTGATTTTAATTGCCTAATAAAAGTACTAATATTTTAAATGCAAATGTTTGTATGTATGGATGGATGAAGCTATCTCTAGATTGTATGTAGTTTGGATTTCACTGAAATTTAACATACATGTAAAACATAACCTTGAAGAACACATCAGCTACTACTAAAGTTTTTTACTTCCGCGGGGTTTGACTCGTGGGCTATAGCTAGCTATTAATAATTAAATATCATGTCCATATGTAACTTACCTACAAATTGGGCACTCCCATTTCTTCTTCTTCCACATAGCTATGCAATATTTGCAAAAGGTGTGAGCACAGTTGAGAGTGGTCGCACACACAAACAACTCGGCACAGATGCTGCATTGCAGTTCATTCTCCATTATATCTGTGAACTCAGCCACCGCACTTTCTTTTGCAGAGATCTCACCACTCTCGTTCTCCGCTTTGAGCATTTCTTTTTCATTTTCCACTGATCGTAGTTGACTTTTAACCTAAAAATTAAACAATTATTATAATATAATTTACCTTTGATTGCGATGATCATACCATCAAAATTTAGACGACTTTCAAGGACAAAAGTACATAAATTGTTCTGTAGTTTTTAGAAAATATTATATACATGTTATATTATCATCATCACCTCATTGGTCTTGAAAAAAAAATTTTCAATACAAGTGTTACAACTGTGGATGTCCTTAGTTCTAAGATAAAATTAAAAAGATAAGTTGCAAATGTTTAAAAAGTTAAAAACCTTATCTAATTGTTCCAGAAGTGAATTGATAACTTCAGTGGACTGTTCAGAATGTTTCTGTATCCTCTCCGCAGCCAGCGCGGCAAGTTCAGTCTCCCTGTCTTCAACTCGGGTCTGAAAATATAAAGATTCATTACTACTAATATATGTTAGTAAATGCCTATCTTCTTTTCACTTCACAAATCTTAGTCACATAATGAACATGTCTCTTTTGTCTAAATCTAGAAATTTCTATGATGTAATTAAATATTAAAATGATTACCTTTAATTCTACAATAGACTTGTTCGCATTGAGTTTGGCTTCAGCCAACTTCTTATGTAGCTCCCCTCTTTCACGGATCTGAAAGAAACCATTTTTTTAAGTAATGTTTATTAGAAAATACCAGAATTTCATTGAACATGTAAAATAATCTTACAAGTTCTTCCATTTTAATTTTTTCTTCTTCGCTTACTTTCTTCATTTGTTCAACTTTTTTGATTAACTCTTGTTCAACTTCACATTTGTGTTGTTTTGTCTCTTTTTCTTTTGATTCCAGTTTACTTTTTAAAACATTTAAAGCTTGCAGCAGTTCACTTTCCCTCAACTTCTTTTGCTCTTCTAGTACCTTTATTTCCTGCAATCCATAGAATAACTAATATAACTAATACTAGCATAGCTTTGAACCAAGATGTCTGAACTTAGCCGTTTTATATATTTTAGTATATAACGTTACAATTTCTACAACATGACATTTCCACTAAACATTTTTGATTACTCAATATGTA